ATTACGTGTAATATTCCCTCCTAATCGCAGTCTACCGCATCTTGCACTGTGAGTACTACGAGTTAACTCGATTTTTTCGTTTGATATTCTATCTAGATTTTTAGCTGAAATATTGTGTTAAGTGGTGTTTGAATAAACACTTAAAGCGTACGTTGACCATCGCTAAAATTCATCTGATCCAAGATATCCTGGATCGATTATAATGGTACTGGACATAGCGTCGCCTTGACGCTTACGGGTAATTTTTGCGCTTGTTCCTCATTTTAATCACGTTTCACACCCTGTTTTGTCTTTCTGTCTTCAGTTTGTAGTTGTATACCTGTTTTAATTTCTGCTCCGTTTTCTGCTTTAATCATGGTCGTTTCGCTGAAAATCAAGGCGGATGAAATCCTTGGGTTCTCGTTTGATGAGTCCAATGAAGCTTGCGGCAATACTGCCAGTTTAAGACCACTTACGGATTCCTCTGGTGGTACGTAGTGTATGTTTGTTCCCGTTGGTAGCACAGAAGTTGTACTGGCCTCCGAGCGAACCAACACAAAATGCTATCATCCAATGCAAACTTTCTTTTTATATGTGCTGAATGCTGCCCTCAGAAGGCGAAGCTCCCGGCTGGCACCTGTGCTGAATTTAACGCAATGACATCTAGGTTCGCAGTTGCTCCGAAGGCGTTAGCCGAGCTTGCCTCGCTCAACAATAAAGTGGATTTGATTATGAAATACCTGAGTATTACGAATGAGGACTCTGTAGCAGACTGTCCCCCTGCTGGCATTCCATCCGTTGGTGGGTCGTTCATCCTACCGGACGCTCCAGTTCACATTGAGATAACTGGCATATGTCTCGGACAGCATGGTTGACCCTCCACAAATGGAAGGCGAGTCATAGGCTCCTGGGCCAGTAACGTATAAGCGAAAGAGGGCAAGGAAAAGGCACAAACCCTCCGCCTCCAAACCGGGAGGTGAGCAATCGCTCAAGATGCAACCGCCTGAATTGAAAACACCACCTGGTGGTGAAATTCTCTTAGTTTTATCTAAGGCTGTGCAGACAGGGGGTGCAAAACACCAGATGTCCCCATCACATGCTACTCAATCTGCAGTGCCTACTCCAAACACCTCACCCTGTTTCCCGGGGATACAACTCGTGGAGCCGGGCATAGATGTTGAGCCACGGGCTTCTTCGCCTGTACGACGAAAGAAAAATCGGAACACTACTACCCGTACTTTTCAGGCCAGTACGAAAAGCGTCAAGAATGACGAGTCAAACAAGCTGGAGCTTAAGACGTAGAATACAGTTGCTTCAGCGTCGTCTGATAACGTGCGCTCAGTCTCATTGCCTGCGGCTAAGCCGGCTGCTGTCTATCTAAATTCCTAAACGTGTGGTAAATATACCCTGTCAAGGGGATTCTTTCCTGGATAGCAACGTGGTATTCCTTAACGCAGTAGAATACATTGCCACACTACCTGCTGAACGTAAGTTGGACGACCTACAGTGGTTTAAAATGTGCGTAACAAAACTTCTTTCACCTGGGTTTTCCGGTGTTACTGTCAGGAAACTGACTAGATTGGGTTACGTCCCAGTTAACGCCCCAAACTCTCGATCGCGCTTACTTCGTGTAGTCCTATCTAGCCAGGAGGAACGCAACGCGCCGTTGCGTTTTGCGTTTAAACTGAAGGATACTAATGTTATCTTTCATCCAGACCTCCGATTAGCGGATAGACTGAAGCTAAGGGGCCATTAATAACCACAAAATCAAGTGAGCGCCCCGTGAACAAGGTCTCCGGTTGGTGGGTTTTCGTGTGGTCAGCCCGCGGTCCTTTTCCGCCCTACCAGTGCCATTCCTGGTAGCGCACTGCCCAGGGCTGGACATTACGAGTACCTTCAGATAGTGCTAAGCAATGTGCGTAGCCCAAGGAATAAGATGTGCTAGATAGATGCTAGATGTAGCTAGATAGGTCACACCCTGATATACTCACATTCACTGTAACGCGATTGTCTCAGGACATCACAGGCAGTGAAGTACATCTGTCTGGCTACGCACTATTTAGATGCGATCGCTTCGTTAGAGGACAAGGCATGGGTGTTGTGCTTTACGTTAGCTATGGACGTGATGTTTTACATACCTACATGTTTCAGTCGGCAGATAAAACTGTCTACGCTCTGTCGGTAGTGATTAGCACTTTATAGGCTTAACTTACAGTTGTAATTGTGTATCGAAGCCCTGGGAGTGCGTCCAAAGTGTCGATTGACTTCATTCGCTCCCTATCCGCAAACAAATGTTTGATACTGGAGGATTTCAATCTGCCGGATGTTTGCTGGGCAGATCTTTCTTGCAACGGCGGAAGGTACCTTTGGTGCAGATCTACTTGAGCTTACGCTACGAGTACCGTTGCATCAGTTTGTGGACCTCCCCACTAGGTACATGGATGCCCAAGTAACTTCTATTTTGGATCTAGCTTTTGCCAAGTCACTAGACTTCGTAGGTGACATCACTTACAGCTCTTCCTTAGGTGCCATTGATCATGTCTGTTTATTATTCAGCTGCGCTCTGACCAGACGTCACCAGAGCATCGCTGAGCCATATCCAAACATATGGCTTGCTAACTATCATGCAATGCGTATCAAGGCTTCTGGGTTGCGTTGCGAAATCTTCGTGGTCGATACGGTTCAGGCGGCTTGGGATAAATTTAAGTCTTATCTCACGGACGTGTCTACTCCCTGCATCCCGCTTGCGAAGATAAAGGAGACACGAGCACGACCCCCGTGGACAGATACTACTAGCAAGTACCTGCTTCAGAAGCTTTCTAGGTGTTGGAGGACCTACGTGCGGCTTCACCAAATAGCACCTGTGATAGGTACCGCGAGGCTAGGTGTAAACAACACTTAAGAAAAGCTCGGCTGATATACGAAAAGGAATTGGCTGATGGAGCTTCGGAAAATCCGAAGAAGTTCTTCGCTTATGTTAAGAGACGATGTAGTTCAAATACGTTAAATTTAATTTTGATGTGGGTCAATGGAATTCATGCGTATGCGGACTCAGATAAGGCTCGTGCACTTGGTGAGCAGTATGCAGAGGCTTTCGTACGTGACGCCGCGTTGACTAGCAATGAACTGGTCCACAGAGTACCTGAGGGTTCTTATTTAGCTGAGTTTACTGTGGTGGAAACGCAAGTGCTTAGGCTGCTTCAAGTACTGAACCCTTCTAAAGCAGCTGGACCTGATTCAATTCACCCGAAGCTTCTGCATGAGTTGGCGGTGGAACTAAGTGGACCGCTGACGATGGTGTTTCAGAAGTCACTTGACAGTTGTACATTACCTTCCGAATGGAAGGAGGCTGTCATCTGTCCTATCTTCAAAAATGGCGACAGGAGTCTGTCAGCCAATTGTAGGCCAGTTAGTCTGAATAGCGTCGTGGTCAAATTGCTTGAAAAGCTGGTGAGAGATTCGTTGGAAGGTCACCTGAATAGATTTAATCTACTCAGTAGTGCACAACACGGATTTCGGAAGGGGTATTCGTGTCTGACGAATTTGTTGATTGCTCATGAAGCTTCGGCAGAGGCAGTGGACAATGGCCACGTAGTGGATGTGCTTTTCATCGACTTCTCGAAAGCATTTGTTAAGGTACCCCACTTGAGGCTATCACAAAAGCTGAGCTCCTACGGTGTATCTGGCCGCGCCCTTCACTGGGTATCTGCTTTCTTGCAGGGAAGACATCGATGTGTACGTGCGGGTCGCAGCTTATCCTTCAGGCAAACAGTCCTTAACGATGTCCCACAGGGCTCGGTCCTTGGGCCGATGCTGTTCTCCATCTACGTAAACGATCTCCCTGGAGAGCTTGAGGTATCATCGCTATTGTTTGCTGATGACCTTAAGCTATGAAATGTTGCAAATGTCCCTGGGGGTTCTGAGGCCATACAGCATGCCCTGGACAGACTCTGGGACTGGTCTACTTTGTGGCTACTACCCATTAATCAGGTAGTGTTCCGTCCTTCGTATAGGAGTAACTTTCCCACCGAGATACGTGCTCCGTGTGGTCGAACACCCCCTTGTCTCCAAATGGGTTGACCTGGGCGTCAGTTCCTCGTCTTTGCTTTCTGGTGACAACTGGAAGAAAGCCGCAAGTAGGGATTTCAGAATGTTGTGGTTAATACGCCGTTCTTTCGGGGTCTTAACTGCGGACATATATGTCAAGCTTTGCTCAGCTTTTCTTCGACCCAATCTGGAACACTGCGTCCAGGCTTGCCCGCCCTGCTTGGTTCGGGACAAAATGGAGCTCGAGAGGGTTTTGAGATTAGGTACCATATTGGTCCAGGGGTTACGGGGGCAATCGTACCCCGAGCGTCTACTTAGCTCGGGTATGTAATCAATACACTACCGACGACTTTGAGGAGACCTAATCCTTACTTAGTACATTGTAACAGGGGAGGTTGGACTGGACTTGTGCTAACTATTTAGCCCGGCTAAGTTGCCTTGTCTTCGCGGTCATCCCGTGAAGCTACACAAGCCGAGTTCCGACCGGACCAGGGCGGAAACTCAGTTATCGCGTAGAGTTATCGTGCGCTGGAACTCGTTTCCAGAAAACCTATTCAGTGAACCTACGGTTAAGAGTTTCAGGCATCAGTTGGACGCTCTTGGGTGGCAGCACGAAACATTTCCTTTCTCCTGACCATATCCATTTTCCAACTTTGCGTTCGTATTCTGTCATTCTCTTCACTCTAGTGTTATCCTTCATTTAAATGACTTTTATTCCTCTTTATCATCCATTTTCTTTCCACGTCTTCCTTACTTCACGTGACCTGCACAGCGGAGACTGCTAGTGCAGGGAACGGGGGCAGTAATTGGTTGACCAGGGTGTGGTTCGGGTGTTTCGTTTTAGATCCTTCAAGACCTCCTAGCACTTTATCATTTCCTGGCTTAACGATCCGCTCAACAAGGAACACTTAAGGAATTTTCCTATGGTTCCAGTCCCTTCTGAATCTGAATCTAAGGACTTGCAAAATTAATGGATGATTGCAAAAACTATATCAACGTTGGTTGATCGGTGTTCTCACATACTGCAGCAATTTACGGAATGGGACAAACAAATAACGGTAAGAGGATTGTCTGTATAACTTTACCTTTTAGTCCTTTGCAATGGATGAAAACGCGTCTTTCTGTTGTGACCTTATGGAGCAGACGGCTTCTTTACAGCATGAGCTATTTAAATTACTTCATCATTTTGTTCGCGGAGGTACCCCTTTTTAGTTTATATTAGAAAGTTTATTGTTTCTGCTTTCGCTACTATTTATTACCGTCTCTCGATAACTACGTCGATTGAGAAATGCGTTGTCATTACTGCTTTGTTTTCTCACTACATCACTTAATTCCCATTGGTTATAGAACCTAGTTTCTGCATGCACCGATTTTTAGGTAATAGGTTCAAGGTAATTATATTTGAACCTCATGAAATTCGTGTAGGCATTCTGGAACCAAGAGTCTTCTTACTTTTTCCACAACATTGCTCAAAAGCACTATCTTTCCGTACACCTACAGTTAATGAGCGGTTCTTCAACTTAAACTAGTGACGTTGGTTTGTGTTGGTTTTACTTTACAACTGAGAGCTTCCCCATTTGGACCAGATTTGTTACAGCTCCTCCCTGATGCACCTAACCTCTTGTCTGGACGCAGTCCATCAACACAGAAAAGTCGACAGTAAACAGCGGACTAGATAACCGAACCAAATTTCTATACGACTGAGCTCCAGCAGCTCATAAAAATAAACAGCAGTAGCCTATTATCCGCAATTATAGATGCTGGATAGTAAACTGCTTTCTCTCCTTCCCATTGCTTTGATAAGTGCACCACAGAATGCTTGATTTTCAGTTATCCGCTTGCGTGAAACGACGGCTAAGGAAGATTGGCACAATTTTCGCTAGCATGGTCACCGAAAAGGGTGTAGCTGAGGTCTTTGAGAACGGCGGATACCATAAAAATGGCAAAATTTGCTTAGGCTGAGCCGCAATGCGTATATGTGCCTCATGATGTCGATATTCCTAGTCTGTAGAAAGGCGAATCAGATATCACATGATAGACCAGCTCATGCCTGTGGAATAGAATGACTTCGAAATAACATTCCAGTGCGAAAATGTTTATTGCAAGCATCTTTCGAGTTAAGCATGTGAACACCGTTTATTGTCTTTCCTAGCTGTTCAAGCTGATTCTATTGAGCAGTTCCAGTACATATGTACATACTGTAACTACGCTGGTCTCATGTAAAGGAGAACAGAATGGTGTTGCGTGACAAAATGGCAGTTAAATGTTTGTCCCTAAATAATGAAAACGGGTAAAGATGAGACAAGTTATTAACTAGCATAAAGCACGCCTTTTGCACTAGGTAATATATGGCATAAAGATTCCAGAGAACGGCTCACTAATTGTTGGCGCACTGAAACATCGGGTTTTAACGACATAGAATACGGAAAGTTGCGGAAATATAGAATCTAGATGCCGAAGTCATTATTGCATCAGTGGTACCACAAACACCCGCTGAATTTCTGAAGCAGCTAAAAGTATCAATGGTCATCAGCACCGTCATTACACATCAGCTAAAGATGATAAACATACTGCAGCTAACTGTGCCGCCTTATCTTTGCACGATAGCCAGCTGTTTGTGACGATATGTTGTTAACACAAGGTGTAGGCGCTTTGACCCTGAATGTTTGCTTAGGGCATTAAGGTTTTCAGGTAAGTCCCCCTTCTCTCCCTCTTATTCTTTATTTCATAGGTCCTCATGGTTGTATGGCAGCGAAGCATCAGTTCAAATGGCTGATGTACTGCTGTTGATGATGATGATGATGTGCCGCAATACAAAGGGTAATATTTTTAGGAAAGTGTGCGGAGTACAAAAACTAAAAGTTCGAGTGATATAATGCTAGTTGTAATATTCTCCATGCAGTGCGTGATCATTTTTGGAGGGGAAACCTAAACCGAAGGAGGAGTGACAGAAACTCACAAACAAACGTCACTGGGGTCGGCTGTTGTCGGTTCGTAGCCTTAAGGATCACAAGTCTCCCTTGTAATCCGAGGGCGCGTGTCAGAACCTGCGTGGGGACCCGGCGTCCCTCGCATTATCCTTAGCTTACATGCGACTGGTTGTGGTTGCGCGGTAGTGAATCGTCGGTACTCCCTACCCGCGCACTGTCGATGCCTTTTGTGGTCGGATCTTGGCTACTATACCGGACCAAACGTGTTTATCGTCCTTTAGACCCAAGCGTAGCAGTCGGCAGACACCAGCCAACGCTGACTCATCGCTTGGCCTCCTCTGCTCCTCGTCCATTCCAGTCGCGCAAAAAGCGCACGTCGCAGGTGTCAGTATGCTGTAGTATATATTTGCTTATTTGTAACAGCTTAAGAATAGGCATGGGGCCATCAAAAACCAGGGAACACAAAAGCACAAAGGTACAGACATCGTCAAAAAAACACAACACGGCATGCACAACACCTGGTCCAGCCATGGTAGCCTGATGCGTAAGTTTAATGTTGCCGTGCTGTTCACTCGCTCTACCTGTATCAAATACGCGACGCCGAACACGCTCGCTGCTCACGCGTTGTTTCCACCAGACATGGTCACCCTGGAGGCAAGATGTAAAGGGATGTTGCCGAGGTGGCTGGTGTTGCACTGATGCAGCGAGCTTTCGAGTCCTTTCAATTGGCTATTAAAGTGTGAGACTGTCAAGGTGACAATAAGAGCCGCAGCGTTGTATCGATCAACAAACTGATGGTCTGCTGGCGTTTTTGCTAGCAGTTACTGTGCATTTGAATGGCGTGCAAAGAAACGAGAGTATTGAGGGTCAAGGTAAGTAGGGTTTGACGGGGTCTATGTATAATCCTATGTCCGCGCCAGTGACCAAGTTATCAGGTGGTGAGAGAAAGTTCTTTAAAGGCGACCGAGTATATATGAATAAACGTCGATTTCATACTTAATTTCCTTAATGTGTACAGCTCAGCTCAGATAATGCATTAGGTTGCGTTATTTCGCAGCGGCAATGGTCCATGGTGCGATGGATGTTTTCCACATCTGCTTGGCGGATTATACTGCGTGGTACCCATGTCTTTCATGCTTACGTTTATGTTGGGTACTGTACTATCCACCGTTGAAGCTTGTGTTGAATAAATTGCTGCTCCATGATTTTGGGTTTCTGTTCATAAGACTTTTCCTCATCTTCCTTTCTCTACAACTTTGTACTCAAAAGGGGTATGGTGCACTCCTGTTGTTTTCTAATTTCGGAATGGGGCCTCTGTTGCACCACACGCTAACAAACTCATACCTTGAATTCAGCGTAACCCTTTGGCTTGACCTAGATTCTTGAAGTCAATGGTGAATAAGTCGCTGCATACGGCTGCATGCGCCGGCTATAGCTTTGCTACCACAAAATTTTAAGCGCTGTCACCGGGATAGTTCGACTCCTCTTACTTCCAGCTGTCATACCAAGCAATTAAACTGGTCGATCGATTGGCCAATCCAACTAGCTGCGTCGCATGTGCTTGTCACATCTCTTAAATGACTGCGCGTATCATTAGGTTTGGGTAGCTTTCCAAATCCATATTCACCGTTACTGCTGTGCATGTGATTGCTGGTCAGGGCATGTAAGACTGCTGCACTTTGGGCTAATGTATGTACCTTGAACGACCGTTGGCTATGAGCTTTCAGATGCCAACAATACTACTTGTAAATTATTACTCATTTAGTTGGAGCGTCTACTGGTTAGTGTCGAAACCCATCGCTTGGTCTCATCGACGGATCCATTAATCTCGCTCTGCTGTATCTGATGCCTTTCAAATCACTGCGATGCTGCATCTAGTTTGATGAACCATTGAAATGGCCACTCGATACATACGCATATGAGTACGGAAATCTTTACTGAGAGATTGGATTTGCTTAGTCCACGTTAGTTTCCTAGACAATGGACGCCAGGTCGGCCACACAAACGAGTAGGAGCCCAACGGATAGGTCACACTCAGTAGCACTCCTTATTTCATTTCCTGGCTTGTGAATTTCAACTTCCCATTCGGACACTGAATCCGATGTGTTTATCTCAAACACAGAATGCTTGTTCGTCTGACACTTTCCGCAGATTTGATTGCCATCTGTCCGACACATTTATATCCGAAATTCTCAAATGCCTTTTATGGTAGTAGTAGGCACACCTCTTTAAACAAATAAATTCAAACGGATTTGTGACGAGGTCACGTATATTGTTGTAGAACGAGCCGCAAATGCTTATCTTTCGCCTTCTATTTCGTTAACCCACTCACTGGAGTTCTACCTACTTTTATTACACTTATGGCATTTAGAACCACCACGCTCCCAAGCTCTCATACGAACTTTTCCACGAATGGTTAAACACCTTCATTGATCACTACTCTATGAATTAGTAACTCGAGCGATGGCGCAATGGCATCGTTTTCTCATGCACTTCGGAGGTTGAATCCACGGCTTATCTGTCAAAGCAATCGTGCTCAACGTTTGCATTACAAAAGTACTTCTTTGTGATTAAGGCACATAGCGCATGTGCACTGTGCAGGGGGATACTCCTTGTCTCCCTCATCGCTTAGTAATGCACTGCTCGCACTCATTGATGTGAAATATGTTAGTTTAGAGCAGATCATTTAATTTTATGTTAATTTACTCTACAGTGTCATTGGCTTGTCTTACAAATACACTTTCTGCTCCTTACGCGGGACAGTACTTAGGATGATCATCGGTGACGTCATGTGAACAGTGAGCTAATCGAATAATACCTGACTTTACAAAGTCTTGCCTAAGACGATCATCATCATGACAACCAAACGTAAGTAAGCTGCTCGCTACGCGGGACCTTATGGAGCTTATTTCCATTACGCATATGAACGATGGCATGTCAATGATTGCACTGCTGTTATGAGTAAGACTAGTAATCACTGGAGCACTTGTATCTGATCTATGCTTGCTGGTCTTTTCATCATATTCTTATCTTTTTGACCTGATATGTCAAGTATATTTATTCTTCTGTGACTGCCTATTTGTGGCCATGACTATGTTGGAGGCAACAACTCACCTACGCACCTGCATGCTCGTTGCAGTTAAAATGATTGGAGCTCGATTTTGAAGCACCGATTGTGTGAACGATCCGCATGGAAATGAACCTTGGTCAGTTCGATCACGAGGACCGTAACTGATGAAGCAGCTGGATATTTGGGGGACTGTAGTTA